TCTATGAATTAAGGCCATGATTGACATAGCCTATGCTATGTCAATCATACTATTATAACCACAGTATAAAAAACGATCTTGTAGTACATGAAGGGGCTATTTCTTACCCTTTCTGTGCTATCGGTACGGGATATACGCTAGCGGGACACCAGTGAGGGATGATAAGTGAGGCGAAGCAGGTTAATTGGTCTATAGTGACAAATTCAGCAATTATTAACCACTGTGGTTTCCAGGTCAGTAAGTAGCCTGTCGTGTTGAATTCTACACGAAATAACAACGATGGCCTCCAGGTGGAACCACGTGGAGGTCGACCTGATAGGGTATATTGCTAGCAATGACGCTCCTCCCCCACAATGAGGCTGTTAGGGTCTAACAGCCTCATTACTAATAATCCCCTTTCTCTCGTTTACGAAGGGGTCTATATAGATAGGAAACTGGTCGAGAAGAGGTTGGAGCAGAGGGTACCAAAATGCCACACATTTGTTTGGTACGGTACAATTCAAAAGTGTTAGTCCTTGACAACGTATACATTGAGGGGGGAAAGGGATTGTTAGCAATGAAGTTTGACAGCCCTATTGCTAGCAATATGCCCTTTTAGGTCGACCTCCACGTGGTTCCCCCTGGAAACCATCGTGAACAATTCTTGTTGAATTCGTCACGATGGGCTAACTGACCTGCTTCACCCTCATCTATCATTCTTCACTGGTGCCACGCCGGTGTATACCGATAGCGCGGGTGGGAATACCATTCCATTATCACCCATTATAAAAAAAACATATACATTGATACTTTTAAATTGTAAAATATTCGGTTGAAATTTTTTTAACTACTTAATTTATTTGTTTATTATTTTGGACATTTATGATCATCGAATTTACTTTTTTTATTACATAGTGTATATAGATTACATATTTACATTTTTATTTGGGTATCATTTTTTTTACTACATTACTTTGGTTTTGTTGATCAAAAAATTAAGATTTTTATATATAATATTATGGTGTTTGATAAAAAAATATGGTATATCGTATGGTATATGGATGGACATGATACCTTTGTAAAGTTGTTGCAGTAGGAAGAGATTAAAATCAAATTTAGGCAAACGTGGTCAAATTTGACTATACTGAGCAAATTCATTTGAGTTTTATCAAACTTGCATAAACTTGATTAAGCTAATCAAATTACAGCCTAACTTGAGTTGAGAAAATGAGTTAAGTTAAGCAAAGTTTGGTCAACTTTGCTAAACTTAACTCATCATCATCATCTCAAGTATTATGTCCACTGATGAATATAGGCCAGCTAAAATAGAGCCACCTGCATTGTTTTTTTTTATACAACATAGAATGGCAAACAAGCTGACGGTCCACCTGATGGAAAGTGGTAACCGTCGCCTATAGACATGAGCAGTACTATGGACATATCAGAGTATACTGTTTCGCCCATGATACCCCTCATGCGTTGCCATTCCTGAGGACTCAGATGTTATTCCTCTATACCCAGTAAATTCACGCCATATCCCACCCTTCAAACCGAAACACAGCCGTGTAGACACAGCTGCTTCACGGTTGAAATACGAATGGGACAGAGGTACCCAAGCAATCGACTTTTTATTTAGTTATTAATTAATTTAATTTTTATAATCCAATATTCCAAATATTTAAAAATTCTTACTGCCAGACTGAATGAATTATTTGTGCATTCATAATTTTTCTTGGAAAAATTTAAAAATACTTATCTTTTTAAATTTGCGATAAAAAATATTCGGAAAGAATATTCATAAGGAAAATGTGAAAACAGGAACACTCAAATTGAGAATTTCCTCATTTTGAATTCGGTTAAAATATATGTTGTAATTCTTGTAAGGAAAGTGGGCTGACAACAGATTTCTATGGGTGATAAACCATGGAAATAGACCAGTATGAAGCTCCTTACATCTTTACATCCTTACTTCTCAAGAGTGATAATAGATGGCGCCTCTAGTACTTTGACGACGATATATTTATAAAATTACCGGGTATGCGATGAGATGATGAGATGATGATGCCTCCTTTATAACTCAGACAGTAGTTTTTGTGTGAGGCTGGAACATACATAATTACAACAACAGTCAGACAGACAGGCAAAATTTCTAAAATATATTGTTTTGACATTTGTCTTATAAAGAAAGCTTATATAATTTTTTTCTTTAATATTTTCCATGTACAGTATGTATAATATCTCGTTAGAATTTTCTTATATTAGTAGGATTATAAAGAGGAAAAATTCGATTGTTTGCAATGGATAAACTGAAAGAATTTTTTTATGCAACTTAGAATGGCAAACAAGCTGACTGCCCAATTGATAGAAAGTAGTAACTGTCGCCTATAGACATGAGCAATACCATGAACATAACAGAAAAAAAAAAATTAAAAATTCTTTCACCAATAGTGGATACATTATTAGCCAGTAACATGGGCTGTATATTTATATTATTAAAAAAACATAAGTAGGTAGGTCGCTAGTATATTTTAACTTGTTGATATGCACAATCCCTTTACAGTTTTACAGGTAGATTGGACTTTAAACATGGCCGTTCCCAAGCCGCCCGTCTATTTCCCGCCACAATTGACCATTACGTTAGCTTTTAACTCGGGAGTTTTCTATGCAAATGTGAATGAAAATTTGCACGACTCCATCTTGCAAATTAGGGATGGGAGCTTTTAGGTCACATTCATGCCTTTAAAACGCCTGTTTATTTTAGCTGGACCGAAGCTAATTTGAAAATTAGCTGATAGCTTAAGTAATTGTAATAAAAGTACCTATAGATATTTACCGGTTATTATAACCTTATGTGTCTATTTAAATTAAGCGAAGTAGGTATCTATTTCGTCATTTGACATTACTTGACTTAATAACATAAAAGTCAATAGATGAAAGAAGAATTCCAATATCAAGATTAAATCTAATTTGATTATTAAAATCAGAACGGTTTGTGGCATAATTACAGTTTTATTTAACTTATTTATTTTATTTTTTGTTGTAAATTTTACTTTTATTTGAAAAAAAAAAGCAACAGATGTGTTTTTATCGCGCACTTCTCAGTCGAAATTGTATTTCGAACTGGGCAGTAGATTCATAAAAAAAAAAAAATATTCATATGACATTCTTTTTTTAAGTTTACTTGAATAAAAAATATTTATTATTCTAGGGTGTGCAAGGCCCACTTGCCTCATCCTCTGACACGTAAGTACGCCTATGTGTTTCGATTCCGTATTCAACATTTTCGGCCAAAGTTCCGTTGTGGATAATAATAATATTTCAGGCAGCTTGTTTCCACGGAAGTATTGAATCTATATAAGATAAAATTCGTAAAATGGATCAAGAGTCAAAGACTATAAAGAAGATTAATGAAGTGATGACAGTATCAATTTTTCTTGAAACGTGTTCTGAAATATTTACCTGTTATGATGATACATATATGTAGGTAGTAGCAGTCATTTACATTGGAGACTTTTTAAATAATACTTATTTTAGTGTTAACAATAACAAAAAACTTTAATCATTAGATTAGTGTAGAAATCTATTATCATCATATTATTATATAGTTTCTTTTTATACAACTTATAATGGCAAACATGCTGACGGCTCACCTGATGGAAAGCAATAACCGTCGCCTATAGACATGAGCAATACCATGCACATAATATACTGTTTTGCCCATGATATCCCCATGCGTTGCCATTCCTGAGGACTCAGGTGTTATTCCTCTGTACCCTGTAAATTCACGCCATATCCCACCCTTCAAACCGAAACACAGTTTAGCCTATTGAGGGTTTTGCCAGTAGTTGTCATGCTAGACAGGCGGGTTGGCAACTGTAGTTAGGCTTTGGTGATGTTTAAAGAGGGACGCTGCTACTGCTACCCATCCCTCGATCGTTAAGTTTCCTTAATTGTCTCTTACGACACTCACGGGTAAGAAAGGTGTCGGCTATGCCGGGACCATACAGCGAGTATAGGAAGTGTACGACAATAAATCTTTTTATTCGTCATCGATTAAAAATCGTAAAAATCTATATTGAAATTAGCGAAAATCTCGTGTAAATAACTGACTCCAAATGTAGAAACTCCTCTTTTTTCAAGTCGGTTGAAATGCGTATACAATGTTGTATTATTATTGCCACAGTCCATTGTGAGAATTTACATTTCGGTAACGATATACTTCGGGTTTAAGTTAGGAAGTTAATCAATGGAATAGCGGGCGATAATAAGTGGGACCTTTGTAAGTTGGCGCCCAACATGGGACCGCACTCTGTTTAGTGGATATTTGATATGGGACGCGGCAGTTACTTTCGTGAAATTAAATTTGTCTACACGGAATTTAAATTAATCAGTTAACATGGAAACTGAAAGATTTTATAAGAATACAAAATTAATTATATGCAAATTAATTTGAAGGTTCTTGTTGAAGATGATTTCTATTTTTAAATGATTTAGAGTATATATGAATTTTTAATATACTTCTGGAATAGCAAGTGGACCGTCTGTCATGTGGGCATAGGGTACGGGCATTCGTTAATATTTCAACAGGGGAACAGCTTAACTTTTGCGAAAGGCCGTCAAGGGCGCATAAAGATTACAAGTCGGCGTGAGCGACATCGCATCCCGGACGAGGGCTGCACCGACCTTGAGCTCGCTGCCCTACTTTATCCCGGGCTCCCGTCACCCGTGGAAACGTCTTCTCGACATCTGGCTTGTAATTTTTAGCTACAAATTATCTATTAGTGCATGTTATCGTATTATCATGGTTGAATACCAGATATAAAACATGAATAATCACCTTGGAAACATAAAGAGATCGCACGGTCTTTTTCAAGGGGCAGGGCTCAGGTCGGAGTCGCGCGCACCTGGAGGCTGCGCGGGGAGCGGGGCGCGGGGCGCGGGGGCGAGGTGCGAGGGTTGAGGGAGAGGGCGGGCGGGGCTCGCGGGGGCACAGGGGGCGGGCGCGCCCAGTCCCGCGCCGGGCGCCGCTCGGGCCGGCCGCCGCACGTGTGTCAGCAGGCCGCATGAGCGCGCCGGCGTGCTAGCGCAGCGTGCGCGGGTGTGGTATGCCCGCGCGTCGCCGCCATGGCCCTTATGTTGGCCTTGGCGCTGATGGCTTTGCTGCCCGGTGAGTGAATGACCTCGGTCCTCGTGACTTCGCACGCAACAGGCGTCCGTCGCGCCGCCGCGATTGTTTATCCCCAATATAGAATCGATTGGCGTGATGGTGAGAGCTGAGGTGTTGTGTTTGGATGGTCAGGTGGTCCTTGCAGACCATGAGGATGCCACGGTAGGCGAGGTGCAACCGGAGTCGAGGTAACACGGTATGACCGACCGGTGGAAAACGCGGTTATGAATCGGTCAAGTAACGGATTTTTGTATTTGGGAAATCTGGAAATCGTTCATCTGAATAAGGATGAGGTTGAGGTACACAATCTTGTAAATCATTCAGGCGCGCAGCCGTTTAATAAAATAAGGATTTCCCGGGAGATTAATAGAGTGGCTTCGCTTTATGTACGCGTAACAAGTTCAGCGCGAGGCGTCACGTGGACGCGACTCGTTGAGGTGCAGACTCTTCATTCCCACGTCTCTTCGTGGTATACGACGCAATAAAATTGGAAAAACTCGCGTTTTACGAGGGAATCTCTACGTATTTTCCGGTTAAAAGGCTTCACGCCCAATCCCAATGATTTATGTCTGTGGCACGTAGTTAGGGCGCAGTAGACATTTTATGGGTCTCGTTTGACAAGTCGAAGCTGTGTGATCTTTGAATTGTCTTCTTATCAATCAATCTAATTATAACTGAAATTGTACGTCTATTTTCTTTCTATTTTTTTGCCATTTAAACAATATTCCTATTGGGACATTCATTACAAAATAAAATTTAATTAAATACCTATTGACTTTTAATAGATACTTATCATTCGAATAGCGTTGAACGTTTTTTGATATATACAAATATGGCTGCAGTTGTTCTTATAAAAATAATTATTAAAGGAATCTTTCTTTCAAATCCTTGTGATTTTTCATGTTTATAACCTACACTTGTATTTCCATATTATAGGTCTAATAATATTACTTTATTAACAAAATTGTCTATTATTAACAATGTTAAGAGGTAACAAAAATTCATATGCACATGATAAAGATTAAGGATAAGGACTAGTAAGGGCTGTTCTTTATCTAAATTATAATAACACCGTATTTTACTTAATTTAAAGATTCCACTTGTAGGCTACCAAGATCTTTATCTTTTGTAAGAAAATATTATAAATAATAAACTTTGTACAATTAGAGATAATTTGAATTCGGATAATTTAGAGATTGTCGATTAGAGATACTAATATTTTAATCGTAATTAAAAAACGGAGATAGAATAAGTCCTCCTTGGGCAGAATTGATTTTGACAAGTCACAAGATGTCTGAGCACAGTTCGACAAGATTGATTTTACTTACAAACAGTGCCCGATTTCAACAGGGTAAAGTCAATTGTGCTGAACATTGGGCGGTCACGAATAGTTTCGTTTACTTGCCAATTTTGTCCATTTATCATTGGGTACTGCTGCGTTCTGAATTCAAAAATATTTAAAGAGTAAATATATATTTTTTTGACTGGAAGAGATCTCTGTCAGAGATAAGTCTACCCTTGTTCACAACATTTGTAAATGCATTAACAATGTAATTTACAAGTGCAATAAAGATATATATATATATATATATATATATATATATATATATATATATATATATATATATATATATATATTATATAGATACATTTAAAAAGTTATATTCACAAAAAGTTTGAGTTGATTCTTTGTGTTTGTGGAAGGAGCGCTCAACGTTCAATATTTAATTGATTTTCTTAGAAAGACAAACTAGCTGACGGCCCATCTGATGGAAAGTGGTAACTGTCGCCTGTATTAAAAAAGATATATTTACTTTAAATACCTAAAACAAAAAGCAATAATTCAACAAATGTGCATTATATGAAAAAAAAACTTGGAGTGAAAATGTATATTCTAACAACAATACTATTATTATTTATTGGATATTAAAATGATAAATGATTTATGTAGTTTCTTACGACATATTTATTATATTACGAGATAGGCACAAACTTGCTAGCCATTCCGTTTTCGTAGACGACTGTAGACTATCCTACGGGAATCTAGCACATTTAGTTATTTATGCGGGATTGAGCAGTAAAAGCTAGATTTATCACATTCATTCACAGATAGTGTGGGTATAAATAATATAAATTAATAAAATTGGTTTAGGGGGTAATGAATTTCTTTTAAAAACTTGACAGGTGTGCCAATTTGTAAGGCAGCTTCTTCTGTAAATTAGGTTTTAAGCACTCATAATAAACTACCAGTGTTTTATCAGTTGCATGTGAAAAATGCTAGTGGATTTACTATTTTTTTAATGTATGGCGTGTGTTCGATTCTGAGGCACTATTTCTTTAAACTTATTCTTAATCTAATAATTGAATTTGACAGTTTCGCGACATTACAGCTTTATAGATTATCATACATGAAATTTATAATAATTAAATGTATTGAAAACTTAGTTCCTATTGGGCCTTAGAATAAAGATTTTGCTGTGATATAAAATTAAAAAGACGTCTCCGAATCGGTCCCAAATTTTGACATCAGCTCATCTAGTCGAGCTACTTAAGTAGATATTGTATTTTTGTAGTTTTTTTATTATTCGAATCTGTTGCTACATACGTTTTCTTTATAGCACTTATAGGTAAAATAGGATGCCGGATGTTGCTGTCTTGTCGTATTTCACCTTATCGGCAGCCAAAATATATAGATCTATTGATAGATTGAGATTTTTTTACTTGTTTATGGGGTAGATATATATGTTGTTTCACAGATAGGAGTGGTAAGGCTGTAGGGCTGATATTGCGATTCATATGTAGTGATCGTCATTGTACACAGGAAGAATAAAAAAGGCTAACAATCATAGAAATAATTTTTCTTTCGTTATAATAATTAATAAACAGGGCGAAATTAAAATTAAAACCGAGTGGACAGTTATTGGATAGTCCGAGAAGAATAATTTCTTCTTTTGTCTCCGCAGGTTATTAGGTTTTATAGAATGAAACCACGTATTATATCTGTTTCTTTCTTACGGAACCATTTTTATTTTATTTTTTATTGTAATGTTTTTTAATAGTTTTTTTTTTGTACAAAAATAAGGGTAAAGAATTTAGATCTATGTTTCGAATCGAAACAATTTTGTCAAAGAAAATCGAAGTTGAAAAATCACAAAAATTTTTAGTTTCAGTGTAAAGTTAAAAATTAAAATTGAAATTTAAAAATTAAATTATTGAATGAAAGCTCAAAATTTTTTGACGTTTTTCAATGCATATTTCTATGGGGAAATGTTCCGTTTCACATGTTTCGAATGGTGGATCATTAATCTTTTAAAAGGTAGATGTAAATGTAGATAATGACTTCAATTCCGCTCTGTAGATCGCAAGTAATGTTCACACGCAAGACTTACCGCTTACTCGAAGAATTTGTACACATTTTATCGTGTATGGGAGTTAGTCTCATATATGGTAAGATCATATACCCCAAGATGGAGCAACGAGTGACAAAAACGGTTAAAAATTCAGTCAGCCAAACTGTGATTGAATTTTGACACATATTTATTTTTAACAAAAGAGCGTAGATTAGATTTAGATTAGATAGGTTTATTTGCGAAAACATTGTTTTTTACAGATATTGATCCATTGTGAAGTACAAATGTTCGCCTTATAGTCTAAAGCATGCAAGCAAGCAATCCATTTTTCAGTGTTGCAAGTAAATAAAAATGTTCCTAGATTAGATAGATTTTTAAATTTGGAAAGTAGGTATTTATTCTTATGTAATACATATATTAATAAAAATAGTGTTCGCGTTCATTGATTTTGTGAAGGAATATATATTTTAAGTTTATTCTTGGATATGAATCAATATAATCAGTGAGAATAAGCATATAAATGTCTATGTTTTAACGTAAGAATTTTAATATTATTTTTATTTTTCAACTTAACCTTATACATTTCCCTGGTTATTGAGTGATAAGTGTATATTCTGGTATCCCTATTTAATCACACATAAATAAAAAAGATCTATTTTTGTCAAAGCGTTTGTATGGAGACACTCCATCTGGAGGTTTATAATCTAAGGTCACTGCGTAGGTAGAAACATTTATCATTTTCATACCATTAGCGTCTGTAGCAAGCAACTCCCTTCGCTTTACCTCTACATTACACTCGACGTTTGTCATAATGATTACGATTGATGAGGTCATAGTTTCATTTAACTGACTTCAAAAAGAGGAGGGCAAATTTGAATGTATTTTTAAATATTTTTCTACTGATGTTATTAGAATGATTTCTTTTGCAATTGATAGGATTCCGGTTTAAGTTTTAGCAAACTATTGACCTAACAGACGTCGTTTATTATATATACATAAATAAACATTTATACTTTATTGTACACACTAATAATACATAAAGAAACATGACAGTGGAAAGTAAATGTTCAAAGGCGAGTTTTACTTTACAAGAATGCTCTTCTAGCAAATCCAAAGTGGAAAGGAGCATCAATGTCAGTGGTGTACAATTCTGTGACCATTTATAAACAAAAAGAATTGGACAAACTTAAGTTTATACATAATCAATTATATCATATTTAATTGTGTATATATACCTATATACATATATATATAAACATAATTATAGATTTATACATACATACATAAAAAAATATGTCCATAAGGATAGAAGATGCTCTTCAAGTCTACTCTTAAAAATATTTACGGAAAGACTCTCCTTGGTTCTGCAAAAGTTGTATTTGACGTTAATATTTGATTGAAATGTTTGAATGGGAAACATAAAAATTATCTTTTTTCGAGCAATCTTTCTCCTCATAAGAACCTTTCTAAAATTTCAACGAAAAGAAAAAAAAGCCAATTGCTACAGCCACCCTCGTATTTGTGTTTACCAGTAGATTTAATATTAATTTGTAATTAATTTTTATTTATATAGATATATTATCATTTTGTTATTATTTCAGCCATTAACTGTCCACTGCTGAACGTAAGTCTTCGCCATAAGGGGAGTTT